TTTCGAAAGTTGACCTCCACACATATGCTGTAGAAAACACACACACACACACACACACACACACACACACACACACACACACACACACCCACACTGAACAAACAAATTAATAAGCAAATAAGTGCCAAAAATTATTTCCAGAAAGGCGTTCTGCTCATGAGATGGCTCAGAAGGTAAGAGTGCCCTGTGGCCAAGTCTGAATCCCAGCAGGCTGTCCTCTGACCTCCACATGTATATCATGGTATACACACACACACACACACACACACACACACACACACACACACACACACTCAAGTCTAAACATTAACAAGGTGTTATTTAAAGGTAATGACTCCTGGTAGGAAGCAGGACCCACCCATCATCTTACTCCGCTGTCCTGGTCTGATCCTATGGCTCTGACTTCAAAAACCACAGATAATCGCCTATACGTCAGTATCCTGCCTGTGTTCTAGGTAGCAGGAGAAACCTGGGAAGGCAAAATCCTATGACTCCCACCTAAGTCATTTCCCAGAAAAAAAAAAATGTTCTCTCAAGTCTTACCTTGAGGGCCAGAAATTGGTCACAGCCAAATTTACAAAGTATGAGAGGATGGGAAATATTTTTTTTAAGACAAGCATACTTTCTATAGCCTTGAAGAAAACTGAAGTTGTATTTTATTTATTTTATTTACTTATATTTTATGTATGAGTGCCCTACATGTATACCTGCATGCCAGAAGAAGGCATCAAATCCTGTTATAGGTGGTTGTGATCCACTAGGTGGTTTCTGGGAACTGAACTCAGGACCTCTGTAAGAGCAGCAAGCACTGTTAAGCGCTGAGCCATCTCTCTAGCCCTGAAGTTGTATTCTTAAGAATGCTGGGACTGGATTGCAGACAGACAGGGTGTTAGCCACACACAGTAAGGGTGTAGCTTCAGGTAAGCCAGGAGAAGTACTGACAGTGAACACTGTAGGTTCTGCTCTCACCAACTGTCATCCATCTCACAAGTCATCCCAGCCATCCTCCCCAGGGCCTGGCTCTGTTGGGGATCAGGAGGTACCAGGCATGGGAGGCTGTCTACTGCATCACTAGGCATCACCTTTACTCCACCTAATGGTGCTGTGTCCACTAGCTGAGGCAGGGAAAGGCTGCTCCAAGTGTGGGAGAGTTGCTGAAAGACCATAGGGATTCTGTCCACCTGCTCATCTGCCATGGTGACCCAACCTTCCTAGGACCTAGCGAAGCTAATTCTAAATGTCAGAGCAGCAGATTCCAGTCTAATACTGCTGATTACTAAGTTAGCTGATACTGCTGAGCTGGTCAGCAGCAACTAAGTAAGAGGAATAATTCACGGCGATAGAAATATCAACTGTTTCTTCCACCGACCATAGACCAGGTGTCAAGCACCGTATTGGGCATTGTCCACCAGCAGCCAGCTTACAAGGATCGCATGGACTTCCTACATGGGGTGAAGCAGGTACCTATATAGGAAGTTAGCAAGTGGCAGAGCTAGGCTGAAAGTCAGGTCTTCTCAGCCAGTGGAATGGCTCAAGAATAAAGGCATTTACTGCACGGTGATGCAAGCCTGATAACCCGAGTTCACCCCCTAGAAGCCGGGTAAAGGTGGAAGGAGAGAACCAACTCAAGGAGGTTGTCTTTTGATGTCTACCTGGCTACCATAGCACATACACATGCGCAACACACAACTGATGGATTTAAAGTTGTCTTCTGAGCCTAACTCCAATGATCACTTATCTTATTTAAGAATTAAGAAGAATTTTAATTATGTGTATGCCTATGTGGGTTTATGCGCATTAGTGTAGGTTCCAGTGGTGGCCAGACGGAAGCTGGAGATACACGCAGTTGTAAGCTGCCCTGTGCATGTGCTGGGAACTAATGCTGGGTCCTCTGCAAGAGGCCACTGCTGAGTCACCTCTCCAACCTAGAATGAATATTTAATCAGTCTGAAGTAACCGAGGCTCAGTCGCGGACTCAGACATCATGCTCATGAGAACATGGGTTCTTAGCTTTGGTAAGGAGCAAGGGAGAATGGTTTTTATTAGATCCATTGCAAATCCATGTGGAGGCCAGCACAGTGGGAGCCAGGGGCCACACGGTCCAGCTCAGCTCCACACAAGGGCAGGAGTACCGAGGCCCCGGCACCTTGGTGCTCTGTAACTGCTAGATTATCATCTACATCCCTCTGCCAGAAGATGGCTCATGACTACTTCCTTGTTCAGCTTAGGGAAAGAGAGGAGTCTGGAGGGGTGTGGGAGCAGGTGGAAGGGGTTTCCTCTCAAAGGGAATAACTCAGAGGCTGCATATGTCACTTCCCCTCTCGTTAAATGGAGCCTCATGACATAGCAATGCTAGCTAGACACAAGGAAGTCTGGGAAATGTGGTCCCTCTAGCAGAGCTACAGGCCAAGATAAAAGGTAAAGGGTGGGGCCACTCCTCAAGGAGTGGGAATGGGTATTCATGGACAAAACATTTTGTGATGCATTTTCACTTTGAATCCCATGGGAAGAAACAATCTGGAATTCCTGGTTAAGAAGATGTGAATACAACTGTAGTAGGACCGAACAGAACGGGGGAGGGGCAGCCCGGCTGGTACAAAATGCAGGAACAGGAATAGGGAGAAAAACAAAAACACAAGTCAGCCAGGAGTGGCCATGCCCAGAACTCCAGCATTTATGAGGTGGAGGAAGAGGACGAGGAGGAACCCAAGGCCACCCTAAGCTATATTGTGAGTCTGAGTCTAACCTGGGCTACCTAAGGTTCTATCTCGCAAAGCCAAACAAGCAAACAAAATTTCTTGCTATTCATGCCACACATGCAATATTTACCCTTCCTGTTCTGGTTCAGATGAGGCTCACACCTTTTCCAAATTTCGCTTCTTGTAGCACAGTGGATGGATAGGCCTTGGGCTTTGAGATAGAGGAGAGGGAGATTGAGGCTGTGCCAAAATATCCACTCTAGTTTCTTGCTCTAGACTCAGGTCCCTTAATGATGTGTCTTGATGGTCCAATAGGTGGATAGATCCGTATGAAAAGCATCCCAGAAAGCAACTCACAGCAAGGCCTGGCCAGGCATTCACCTGTGAGCAACTCTGAGTCCAGGAAGAGGCCAAATTAAGCTCTCAAAAGCCCTTCACATATCTGGAAATCACAGTATAGCAGCAGCTCTCAACCTTCCTGATGCTGTGACCCTTTAATCCAGTTCCTTGTGCTGTGGAGACCCCCAGTCATAAAATTATTTTCGTTGCTACTTCATAACTGTAATATTGCTACTGTTACAAACCGTAATGCAAACATCTGTGTTTTCCAAAGGTCTTAGGCGCCCTCTGTGAATGGGTCACTCGATACCTCAGGGGGTTGAGTTGCAACCCTCAGGTTGAGAACTACTGCAGTAGAGCTCCTGTGAGTAGCGGCTCCCGGCCTGCCACTGTCACGTGGTCTCTAATTCTTAGATCCACCGCAGCAGTAAGAACTGTTGGTGCTGTTCCCATAGTCCTCGCCTCTCTGTTTCCTAGCATTTCCCCGCTGAGGACTTTCTCTTGCTGCTAGTCATACTTAGCCAAACTCGGGACACAGGTTCAGGACCAAGAATGTAAGCTCCACCTCCCGGAAGTCACCCACCGTAGCAGACCCCGCTGTGGCAGACTCAACTGCCCCGGCGGTCAGTTGGGCAAGCTGACATGCATGCTCTCTGCTCCTGCCCAGCTTCCTTGGTGGAGTTTATTTCTAGATAACCCGCAGTGTGAGCGCAGCGGTTCGGGGGCTACCTTCTTTCCTTGTCTCATCTCCTAACTTCACTAGTGGTGTTTCCTGTTTCCCAAATAAATGACTTGAGATCTCTTTCAGTGCTTCTGAACCCAAATAAGACATCACAGTCAAGAGAAGAACATGCAGGTGGACGCATGCATGCATGCATGCACGCATGCACGCACGCACGCACATGCTGGTTAGATTAATCCAGATTTCACTACCAGATGAGTAGAACTGAAAACACCACTAGACATTTGGTGCCTAAATTCTCAGCCCACCAAACAGAGCCATATCTCCACATCCTGTGGGGCTGGGAGGTTGTAAGTGAAATGATCTCTCACGTCTTTAGCACTGTTCCTAGAACACAGCTGTTAAAGAGAGCTGGCCTGCTTCCCATCTCATCTCCATTTTACAGATAAGGAAACTGAGGCTCAAGAAGCTTGCCCCACCTGCATGTGGTCACTGAGTTGTTTAAGTAAGGTAGCTTGGATTCCAGCATAGATTGTCTACTCACTGACTTCCCTGTTGGCCTCACATACATCATCCCCTCCACTCCCCCACCCCCCACCCCCACCCCAGTCTACATCTCCCTGGCTGATGCACCAAGTCAGCGTAGACCTCACTCCCATGTCTCCTTCACACTGTGCTCTGCACCCCACACATCCAGTTTCCAGTTCTCAGAAAGTGCCACATTTAGGTACCATTCACACCTATGTTATTTCCAACCCCTGCCCCTGTGAGGGCATGGATCTTGCTCTCCCTCACTCAACTAGGACACACATTTCTAATTCGGGGGCAGAGATTTCCACACATTCATCTCCATTTGAAGACACAATGTCACTTAAAATAGAGGAACCTCCAGCAGAAGGGTGTCAGGTGGCCTGGGCAGAACAAATGCCCATGATGTGTTTTATCCAGGAACACAGATGACGAATCCGCTTCTTCTTCATGTTGGAGGGGATGCTGAGACCCTCTTAGGGATTGTCTTAATCCAGATTATTGCTGTGATAAAATTTCAATGACAAGAAGCAACTTAAGGAGGAAGGGGTCCATTTCACTTTGCAGTTTGTAAGTCTGTCTTTGAGGGAAGTTGGGGCTAGAACCCAGAGGCAGGGACTGGAATAGAAGCCAGAGAGGGGTGCTTCTTACTGGTTTGCTCTTCATGGTTTGAAGAGAGCTCTCCTGCTCTCATGCCCTCAGGGCTGGCTCACCTGTGACGTCAACAATAGGGTCAGCTCTAGTGTGCTGCCCTGGCCGGGTACAGGACCCATTCTCCTGTGACCTCGGGCCCAGCTCTCATGCCTGGCACAGGTAGCAAGGGGCAGAGGGGGGAAGGCATCTTTCCTTCACCCATGCCACTGCATGGCAGAGGAGGGGAGTGGGGTGGGGTCAGCTCTGTTGCTCTCACAGCCTCAGGGGTTAGCTCACCTGCATCTCCAACCACAGTGTCAGCTCTAGTGTGCTGTCCAGGTGGGGAGCAGAGGCTGCTTCCTCCCATGCTGCAGTGGGTAAGGGTCAGGGCTATTGTCCCCATTCTTGTGCTCCTGGGGTTTATTTATTTATTTAATGTGTATGAACGGTATGGATGTTTTGCCTGCAGATGTGCCTGTGCAGTGTCTAGGGAGGCAAAAAATCTGTGTTGGATCCCATGGGGCTGGTTGCAAGAACAGGACGCTCTAAACCACCGGCCCATCTCCTTAGTACTCTTTATATCTGTTCTCTTACATTTTTGTGTTTATAAGAGACACCCTTTTCCCTCAAGAACTTCTCCTTTGCGTTTCCAGCTTGGCTACCTGTTTTTTTGGTACAAAAGATGTAGCTTTTACGCTTTCTTTCTGCTTGTGTTTGTTATTTGAAATAAGGTCTCATCCAGGAGCCCAGGCTGGCTTGGAACTATGTAGCCCAGGCTGGCCTCAAAGTCATGGCAATCCTCCTGCCTAAGTCTCAAAAGTGTGGGGTTACAAGCTCCAGCCACCATACCCAACTTCTTTTTCAGCTTTTGACATGGCTTTCTCACTAAGCTCAATGTCTTCAGCTTGTGATTCCAAGAGGATGCCGGAGAAGGCCACTGCTGGGTTGTTAACTGGGCTTCTTCAAAGACCATCGCATCCCAGAGAGTAGGGAGACCAGTGAGAAAGAGCACAGGGCACCCGGGAGGTGACCTTTTGTCTGTCAAGGTTGCAATCCCCTATCCACATGATTTATAGCACCATGAGATAATTACAATAGTGATATCAAAGATCGCTGAAACAGACTGACATCCTGAGCAACTACTCCAACGAGCCACAGTCCGGGAGCATGCATTCTGGAATATGCCCTGTGCTGGGTTGCCCAAGCCTTCAGCATGGATGATGAAAATACCATCACCAGTGCACAATGAAGCAAAGCGCTGTAAAACTGAGCATGCCTGTCTGTGTCCGTCAGTCAAGGAATGCAAAACGACAAATCAGGTAACGATGGACAGCATGCCCGAAGATGGGCCTGGAGGTTTCAACAGAACTGAGCATTTTCTTTTGTCTGGAGTCGTGGGCATAAAGGAACAAAGCTCCATGGGGGTCACATTTCGTGACACAGCATCGCTTACTCAATGCTGAGACAGAATGCCGTGATGTAATGCTATGTATGACAGAATACCATGATGCAATTCCCTCACGTAATACCCTCACCACAGGAAGGGTAGTGACGCTGTGAAATAATGGGATATGATACTGCATCCTTGTGTATGTGGTGATTCTGAGGTAACCAAACACGGTGGTGCCGGGGTAGTCCTTATACCTGTGTTCAGTTCCTAAGACTGGATCATGACAACGCCTGTTACCGTCTCAGGTGTTTACTATATTGTATGTTTACTGTTATTTTTTATTGTCACTTGGCTTTGATTCCTTTCTTCTTTTAAATTGTTTGTTAAATTGAGACAGGGTCTCATGTAGCCCAAGCTGGCCTACAACTCACCATGTACTTGAGAATGACTTTGGACTCCTTTGGATCCTCCTGCCTCCACCCCTAAGTGCAATGATCACAGGTGTGCGCTATCTTTTATAGGACATATCAAAGAGACCCAAGTCTCCCTGGAACAGTGGGACAGGAGGTAAGCACTACCAGGCACTATTAAACACTGTAAAAGAGTTGTTAATGCTAATGGCAGGCCTTTTCTAAAAGTATCCTGAACCCCATTTAACTTTATTTTTCATTTAATGAGTTAAGATATTGAAGATCTCGGGGAATTTGATTTTCTGACAGCTGTTAGGGCAGACTATCTTGAATCAAGTAGCCTGGCTGCTTTGAATACTGACTGCATGGATACCTTGAGGAAGCTACATTTTTAACTACAGCTACTTGCTGCCAAAACACAACTCTGGCTCCAGAAGGTTCTGTCCCAGTCTGAATGTCTCCAACAGCTACACCAGTCTTTTTTAATCACTACAAGCCTCAATGGACACTATTAGCCATTTTCCTCTGTGCCAATGAGGATGTACTTCCCTGAAAGCTCTGGAGAAGCCCCATGACTTATTTAAACACAATCCTCCATGTGCATGAAGGACAGTACCATGATTTGTGGGGGCATCTTTTCCACAGCCCTCTGCCAACTGCTTAAGCAGGCTGTTCATCTCACTTCTGTGTGGAGTCTGCCAGGACTCGACCTCTGGGGTTGCCCTCAGTCACACAGTTAGAACCAAGAAAAGGCTTTTCCGAATGGCCCTTTCTTTGCCTACTTCTGATTTCTGTTGTAAGCAGAGAAAGCTGAGGTGGTGAACACCGAGAAGGGAGCAGCGGCAGCAGCAAGTCCAGAGGCACAGAGGCAGTTCTAGCAAGAGAGGACAGAGACACGGGCAGAGGCAGCAGAGGGGACAAAGGGCATGGACATGCAGAGGAGGCTGTGAAGACCCAAAGGCAGGACGTTGCAAATTCTGGTTACTGGTGGCGTTCCAGGGAGTGGTCCAGCCCTAAGGACTGAGGGTCAAGAACTGTGACCCCAGCTACTGATAAGAAGCAAGGATGTGGCACCTTAGGCCTGGGAGTGTCACACTTGGAGCAGTGAGAATAGCTGCTATTGCAAGCTGAGGATTTCACAGGCTGCCCAAGTGCCAGCACACTGGCACTCAATGGCAGAGTAATACACCTCACCTAGGTTTCCGGCCTCTACCTTCTGGAGCCACAAGCCAACACTGACACTGGACCTCTACACACACACACACACACACACACACACACACACACACACACACACACTTGCTCTTGCGTACATGTGCACACAACACACATATGCCACACATGTACAAAATAAAAATAAATAAACAGAGAAGCCAAGTTTACTGTGAGGGGCAGGGAGAGAGGCCATTTGCTAAAGTGCTTGCCGTTCAAGTTCAGGGCCCTGAACTCCATCTCCAGAACCTGCATATAAAGCCACTGTGGTGGCCTCAACTTGTAATCCCGGGGCTAGGAAAAGGCAGAGACAGGAGGGTCCCTGAGCCTCACTGCCTGGCTAATCTAGCCTCATGCCAGTGGGAGGCTCTGTCTAAAGAAAGAAAGAAAGAAAGAAAGAAAGAAAGAAAGAAAGAAAGGAAGGAAGGAAGGAAGGAAGGAAGGAAGGAAGGAAGGAAGGAAGGAAGGAAGGAAGGAAGGAAGGAAGAAAGAAAGAAAGAAA